GGTTTTGCTTTAAATCTGGAATATTTTATATAAAAGGACATAAAAACAATTATAGTTGAGGTATGATGATAGTAATATATATAAATATATTGGATTTAAAATATATGATTTTATATGAATTGTAGGTGATGACTGTGGAAGGGATGCACGGAAGTTTTTGTAACCAATCAACACACTTTCTACAACTTGTAATGGAAGATGGTTTTGTAGGGTTTTTTTGTTTTGTCTGTTTGTGTTTATTCAAAATAAAATAAAATAAAAATTCTTTATAAAAAAAAGAAAATCTTGATAGACCTAGCCACATTGATTTTATCAATCTGATAAATTATAAATTACATTGTTTCAAACATAATCAACCATTTAGAAACTTGATAAAAATGCAACTTACATCTGATTTTATTTCAACATCATAAATTAGGCTTTCCCATAGACGATGAAACTCAACTGTTAAAGACAAAAACTCTATATTATTTTAAAGAGAAAAAAGGCAAACTACTAAAAGCAGTAGTTGGCAATGGAAACTTTGGATTTTTTTGAAGTAGTGACTATAGCGAGTATAATAATGAGGGACTGGCCATTTTCCTACATTGGCCAGTCAGAAAACTCTCAATTAGCTAAAAAGAAATATCAAAACTACATGGTTTCAAAGTAAAAATAAAACCAAAAATAGTGATAGTATGTATCTTTATGGTGTATTATCTTCCTTTCAAATATAAAGCTAAGAACATGCATTTCTGAACAAATAACATCCTTTTTAATATGATTATCTTTGCCTACACAAATCATGAGGTATAAGCCAAGGTTCCTCAACCCACCAGGCCGTGGCCCACTACTGGGCTTTGAGCTTTTCACAAAGCTTACACACAGGCATCCTATTCGTGCAAACAGTGGGTGCATGTGCTCCATTTGCATGAATGGCAAATGCATGTGCCTACCACTCGCATGAATGAAGCTGTGCACATTTTTGTACACCATGCACGCAGAACCATTCCCAACCACCTCCCAGCTAGTTCCCCAGTTGGGGAATTTGTATAAGGCAACTGTTAAAAAACAACTCCCCACGTTCCAGGAATTTTAGCATGAACACTCTTCAGTTCATGCTTCATTTTCCCACTAGAATTGAAATCTTTAAAGATGATTATGTCAACTAGAATATATTTTGTTGACTCAAAAATATTTCTAATTTCAGGAAGCTGAATATTGCATTTCAAAATGATGTTTAGTTTGATTCTTGTTTTTTTTAATCCTCATTTAAACAAAATCTTGTCCATTTAAATAACCTAATGGTATCTTTAGGTTCTTTTGAAATACCTGTAGGTAATAACCAATGATTAGCTGCAACAATATGCTCATCTTCAGCATCCAGGTTTTCTGTAGTAGACCCTTCCTCATTGAGATGAAAAATATGGATTAAGAGTTTGCATTTATTCAAGCTGATAGGCTGCAGTGAAGAAAATGAGAACAAATTAGGTGCAATTAAACTTACTCTTACCTAAAAATATTTGTAATTGTCATGGCCCAATAAGAGCCCAGTTTGGAGGAGGAATTCGAACTGGGACCATCCAACAAGGAGGGCATTTCTCCCTTGGCATTTTTGGAGAGGCCAGCCCCTCCACATAGACATTGGGGGAGGTGGTCGACCAGATGAGAGAGCTGCCTGCCTTCACAGAGTGAAGGATCAGTTCTGTTAAGGAACTGCTGCCTCCTCCACTTAATTCAAGGGCATCGAATTAAGTGTAGGCAAGCTCAGAGAAGACTACAAAGCTATTTGGGAGAAGGTCACTCCATCACTCCTCACAAGGAACACCTGCAATGGAGTGATTTAAGAAAAAGCTGTGGGAAGTTAGTCTTTGCCAGGAACAAATGTTTTGGCTTACACTACCTCAGCTATGACTCATGCCTTTGGCCTTGATGATTGCTTTTTGCCTAGACGTGAGAACTGCCTTCTGCATTGGACTTTGCCCTTGCCTTGTGAACTGCTGTTTGCCCTTTGATTTGATTTGCCTTTTGCCTTATATTTGCTCTGAGGAATGTCATTTGTCTTGTGCTTGAATTTTACCTTGTGGACTACAGTTTGTCTCGTGGATACACTTAGCCAGATGGACTGGACTTGGAACCCTGGACCTTGCCCTCTGAATATGTTCCTACTCTGTGGATTTTCTTTGTAATATATGGGCTGTTATTTGCAGGACTGAGCCTTTGTGGTAGTGTGGGGTGGAGCCTTATAGATTGTTGGAACGCCATTTGTTTGAACATGTATTGAGAGCAATAAAGGACTCTCTGGATAACAAAAAGACCAGGACCATGTTGTTCCACAGAGCAGGCTTTTGGGTCTATCACCTGACACTATTTCTATTTCATAGAAAAAACCTGAAGCATAATCACTTTGTTGGCTCTCATGGGCTAAGCAAAGATAATTGAAGATGATTCCTCAAATAACTGGATCCTTTGCCACATTTTTCTGGTGGGCAAAAATATAAGTCCTCCCCTGCAAACAAGCCCCCCTGGACAACCCGCCCCCCTCCGGCCAGGCAGAGTGCCACTCACCAACCTAGCGGTATCCTGAAGGTACCAAGCTGCGGGAACCGGGGGGGAGGCAAAGGTGATCGTGTTGCTTGGCGCCTTCAGGATATCGCTAGGGGGGGGGAGTGATCACATTACCCTAGATTGGTGAGCGGCGCTGTGCTCAGCTGAAGGGGGGGAGGGGTTGCCAGGTGGCTGCTCTTTTGCAAGCGGGTTCCCAAAGAGCCGGGCACAGCCTCAGGGGTGAACGGCTGTGTTGTGCTGTCGCAGCAGCGCAGCACAGCAGCCATGAAGCCTCCACGCTCACGAGTAGCCACCCAGCAAACCCCCTTTCCAGCCGGGCACAGTGCCATTCACTGACCTAGGAGTATCACCAAGCCACATGAGCGCCTGTTCTCCGCCGCCCGGATCTCACGTCTTGGCACCTTCAAAATGCCAGTGAATGGCACTCTGCACAGCTGGGGGGGGGGGGGGAGTTACGTGAGCGGCTGTTCCGCTCCTGCTCGCATGCCTCCCAGCCTCCCGATGCCCTGGCCCAGCTCTTCCTGCAGAGTCAGAGTACCTTCACCGCCATCGCAGCATGGCTTTTTGGGCAGCTTCCAAACCGAGTTTTCCTGCAGTGGCCGCTCTGGGCGTATGCTCTATGGTTGTACGCTCTGGGAGTTTGCCCTGCCGGCAGCCGACTCACAACCATAGAGCATATGCCCAGAGTGGCCACTGCCAGAAGACTCAGTTTGGAAGCCGCCGAAAAAGCCATGCTGAGATGGTGGCGGCAGCGGAGGTGCTCTGGTTCTGCGGGGAGAGCTGGGCCAGGGCACCGGGAGGAGCGGGAGTGGAACAGCCGCTCGCATAACCCCCCCTCTCCAGCTGTGCGCCATTTACTGGCATTTCGAAGGTACCAAGCCGCGAGATCTGAGCGGCGGAAAACAGGCGCTCATGTGGCTTGGTGATACCCCTAGGTCAGTGAATGGTGCTGTACCCAGCTGGAAAAGGGGTTTGCCGGGTGGCTGCTCCTGAGTATGTTGCTTCATGGTTGCTGTGTTGCATTGCTGGGACAGTGCAAGACAGCCTTTCGCCCCTGAGGCTGTGTCCGGCTCTTTGGGAGCCCGCTCGCAGGAGAGCAGCCACCCGGCAACCCCAAAACAATAAGCCCCCCCTGATAATAAGGCCCAAGCCATATTTTGCGTATAAAAAGAAAATCAAACCCTGTCTTATTTTCAGGGAAACACGAGATGTGTGTGTGTGTTTGTGTTCCAGAATAACTCTGGAACATTTCGAGCAATTTCAAACAAACTTGGTACACAGGTGACTTACTCTCTGGAGAAAAATATTGTGGGGGTAAGACACCCCTAACACCCCTTGGAGTGTGTGTTCTGTTAAGATGCAGCCTGCTGTGCCTTTAAATGGCTTCTACTGTACTGCTGTAAAATGGCTTCTACTATACAGCACAGTGGAGTTACCATGGTAACGGCTCCACAGTGCTCCACATGGGGGTTCCATCTGATAAGAGGAAAAACCCAACATTAAAAATTAAGTTTGGTCCGGGCATTTTCCCCCTATAAATAAATACCCAGGCAATGCCGGGTTATTGGCTAATAATAAATAAAATATGCAACATTTTGATATCAGCTAATTATGGGGAAGCAAATAAGCAAAAGAAGAAATAATAATTATCATACCTGTCTTTCTTTCAGTATTAGCTCAGTATCGACAACTGCAATTGACTGTACATTATTTGTTAGGAAGCAATCATCAAACTCAATCCATTTGTAATCACCAAAAATAACATCATGCCTATTTAGTAGCTTTAAGACACTTAGTTTGATATCTTCTTTTTTTGCAGTACTGGTTAAAATAAGAGAGAGAAAAAAATAATCAGCTTCACCCATAATCAGTTACAGCCAGAAAATGATAGAATGCCACTTATTTCAACCAGCTGAGATACAAAATATCATCTATCAGGTTATCTGAGAAAGGTATGAAAAGTATACTTCACTGATGACAATCTTCTGATTATAATACTCTCAAACAATTGAAGAAAATGTTCTAACTTGATACCAATACTAAAGTGAACTTCCAAAAATCTAAATTATGATTGAACTACAAAATCTTACAGCACAAAGAATCTTGTCAGTACTCATGTACCTATTTACCATGATAAAAAGCAGCAGTACTTTCTCTTCCATCTCCCAACTTTCCAGGATATTTATCATTTTTGTATTTTTCTTTAGCAGGTTGGTAACCAAGATTTTAAAGAATGTTCAGAGAGCCCATAGGCAAACTTCTAAATGAAAATTACCCTGGAAGCTAAGCTTTGTAATTTCCTCTATCAGATTTAAATTTATTTTAGGCCATGGAATAATTAATCCCAGAACAATCTAAAAAATAGTGGTTGTAGTATTTTCATAGGAGAAAAAGCTTTCTATGGTTTCTTTTGAATAATATGTCTGTTGTCCAACATAGAACCCATTCATGAGGTGTAGAGCCAGAAGTTTCATAGAACATAATGTGAAGAAAACTGAGAAAGGCCTGACAAACATTGAAAACAGCCCTCAGCTCTTATAATCTTTATCCTTGTAGAGCAGCGGTTCTCAACCTGTGGGTCACAACACCTTTTGGGGTCGAATGACCTTTTCACATGGGTTGCTGAGGAGCCTCTGTAGAGAAGTTGGCGAGAAGCTGGCCCGAAGGGAAGTAGCGGCTCAGGTTCCCCATATGGTGGAAGGAGAGGTGTATGCATGTGTGTGTGTGTGTGTTGGTGGTGGTGGTAAAGTAGAAGCTGGAATGGAGGCAAGGAGGGGGAAAAGAGACAAGCGCAGCAGAGACTGCTGGGAAAACAGCTTGTTCCAAGCGATGGAGGTTGATGGGCAGAGCTACAGAAGCCAAGAGGTACAATTTCTGAGGCATAAAACAAGGCGGGGAAAATAAAAGAAAAGTGGGATGCGCATATGCTGAGATTCCCTATTAAGACTGTTACCCATGCAAAGCCCAGTCTTACTAGGCTTTGGCCCTTCTTCTGCGGCTCCCTGCTGACCCAATCGCACAATCTGCTCTCCGTCCCGAGAAGGCACGAGCCTCTCACCTGCTTTTGCAATTCCGTGTCCTTCACAGGCAACTCAGTGTCGGGAAGAGCTCCAGCCCTTTTCTTGTGCTCATCTCTTGCGTGCGCGCGCAAGCAAAGTACCCTCCTGGGCTAGGATCAAGGCAGAGAGGACGACTCTCCTCCCACTGTCGTCACTGCGCAATGAGATGAGTAACTGGGTACATAGCGCAGGGGAGCCACGCTGCACAGGAGACTCCTCAGCACCAGACTCAGGTCAGCCCGAGCCGCGGTCCCCTTCGTGTTGGCTTAGGAAGGAGGGGAATGGGGAACAGCAGCAGCAGCTTGTTGTGTGCAGAGAAGGAAGAGCTTCAATTCTCCTGCGCCGCACAGGGCTCTCCTTGCGCAGAACTCTGGAACTCTTCCCTCTCTGCATCCAGAGACGGCTGCTCCGGCTCTTTCCTGAGTCAACATGAAGAGGACGGACCTGAGTCTGGCGCTGAGGAGTCTCCTGCGCAGTGCAGCCAGCTACTCACTTCTCAGTGGCGGCAGCGGAAGGAGTCGCTGTCCCCGCCGCCGTGATCCCAGCCCAGGAGGGTATTTTGCTTGCACACGCAAGAAAGAGATGAAGAAAAGGGGAGAAAGAGAGAGAGATAGGGGGAGAAAGAAATGAAAGAGAGCTGAAGGGAGAGAATGAGAGAGGGAAAAGAGAGGAAAACAAATCAGGGGGAAAGAATGGAAGAGAAAAGAAAGAAACTAACTTTCTCAGACCTATGAAGAAAGCAATGGCAAGCTAGATCTCTTGTCAAGAAAACTGCAATTTGCCAGAAGGCACAAATTGGAAGCAAGTCTGATTTTTTAAAAAGAAAATAAGAGATGACAAAAAATGCATCTGAAAATAAGATTACTTATAATTTTGGATAACTTATTATATTGTCAAACTCAAAAGAAATCAAAATATATATCCTATTTCTGTTAGTACAATCTTACCAGCTTCTGTCAATGTAGATTTCACAATGAAGATTACAGAGAAGCAATTTCCTAGAATTAATAACTTTATTTTGGATTTGCTATCGTATTCAATAAGAAAGAAAAAGAAAGAGGGAAAGGGAAGGAAAGAAAGGAAGAAGAGAAAGGGAGAGGAAAAATAGAGAAAAACAGAAATGAGAAGGAGGGAGAGAGAAGAGACCCTATTCTCACAGAAAACACTGAGCCATGAAACCTTGGTAGGCATGTCTAGGGGGGGAGCATGTGACTGGGTGGGAGTGATGTTGAGTTGGCCATATCCACCCAGGTTTTGTGGCTTCTGATATTACATAGTAGCAATGAAAATAATTTTATGGTTGGGGGTCACCACAACATGAGGAACTGTATTAAAGGGTTGTGGCACTAGGAAAGTTGAGAACCATTGTTGTAGATAATGTTTTCATATGTTTAATGTACCTATTATATCCTGATTTGTCAATTTTACTTATCTAAATATGTTATAGGTAAAATATATCTTTTAAAACTAATCATTTCTCCATCTACAGCACATTATACATTTGATAAAAATGGTAGGAGACTTTCTGCAATAGAGAACAAAATCTGCAATACAAAACCAACCTGTTTGATTTCTGATGAACTTCCACATGTATTTGCAGGGATTCATAATCATTTTGAAGAGGCAGTTTTAAATCACCTGTTGCTTCATCCATTTAATCCAAACTAATTAGAAAATAGTTATATATCTAAAATGGCCAAGAAATAAATTATATTATCATTCAAAGCATATCTTTTTAAATTTTATTAGTCAAGTTCTGTTTTTATTGTGTTTTCCTTTCTGATTTGCTTGTCAGACACATTAAAGCAAAAATGGTTCTGACAACAATTTAATGACCATGTCATTTTCCAGAATTTCCAATCTGGCCATTGGCTGAAAGAGATTTAAGTCTGAATAATGATCTCAAAACGAATTTAAACCGTATATTTGCATTTTAAATGTCCCTGGAACAATAAAAACATTGGCTTGCACCAAACACTGTCTTTTATACCACTTAGAAATAGTGGTATAAAAAGATTCTAGTCATGCAGTTCATATTACTTTTGCATTATGGTGCTATGTCAGGTTTCCATGGGACTGTTACTGTACATATACATACAAGTGGCCCTTGGCTTAAAACCACAGTTGAGACCAAAATTCTGTTTCTGAGATATTAAAGTGAATGTTGCCCCATTTTACCTTTCTTGCCATAATTATGTGAATCCCTGCAATCCCTAAATTAATAACAAGGTTGTTAAGCTTGACTTTGTCAGAAGGTTGCAAAAGATGACCTTGGGACATTGCAACTATCAGAACTGGTCAACTGAATCAGTTGTCAAGTGTCTGAATTTTGATCACATCACAATGGGAATGCTGTAATGGTGGTAAATATGAAAAATGAAAGTCAATTTTTTCAGTGCTGTTGTAATTTTGAACAGTCACTGAATGAACTGTTGTAAATTGAAGGTATTAGTATGAAATTACTCCCTAGATTGGTAATCAATTACCTGTGCTCCCAATTTATTCAGAAGATTTCCCTTCTTTGTCTTCTGCCATTATTAAAACATGGGAAATTATGGAAGAAATTGGGGGGGGGGAGCCAAAATCCCCAATTTTTTTCTTTTCCAGAACACATTTAACATAGGGAGCAGTTTCAGCTTCTTTTTGGCAAGCTTACTGGGCAATTTTGAAAACCATTGATAGATGTTCTTGAAAAGAAAGCTAGTTAGTTAATTTACTTATTTTACATTTCTAGATCTCCCATTAGGCAAGATTTGAGGTGTGAAGCAGGAGGTAATGCATTTATTTAATGCATTTAAAGTGGTTGGGCTATTTAATTAGGCAACTGAAGAGCTTAACTTCCCCATTTTAGATCAGTGAGAATGTTAAATAACTGTAAGCATTTCTTGCATTTTAAGACAAAATTGCAAAACGAATACTGGACTTTTTGTATCAATTTAATTTTTCCCGGGCCCTCCCTTTCTACCAAAAAGACTGATTTTACCCGCCCACTTCCGTTTTCCAAGAACAAAATCTTTTCCATGTATTGTACGCAGCACTATTTTCGCCAATAATCTCTCAGTTCACTTAATGCAAGAACACGAAAATCACGTCCACAAGGCTTGGAATTACATCGGTCTGTGGGATCCCGCAGCCGTTTTGTTTTTATTTCTTTCCCAGGAATCCTCTCAGAAAAGGCGGATAAAAATCAAGCTTCCTTAGCTTCCCTCTTAAATTCTGATTTTCCAAAGGCCTAAAAAAATTATGGAACAATATTAACTTATACAATCTCATTCAATTCACACGTTTCATAAGAGGCGAGGGTCTTGACCACGTACCCAACAGCCAAGATGCCTTCAATACCTGGAACATACGTTGGTTGATCACTGACGCCTGTACAAATTTCCCGCGCTTCTTTCTTCATTAACCAGGATCCGACTTGAATCAGAAGTGTTTCCGTGTTAGCTATTTACGTCATTTCCTGCCATTTCCGAGTTCCCTGGATTAGAGGGAGGGCTGAGAATAAGTGAGTCTTAATAGTTAATTATAATTATAGTTATGGGGAAGAAACACAAAAAGCATAAAGCGGAATGGAGATCAACATCTGCCCCAAGTGTCACTGCTTCTGGAACCGGCGCTACTGCTTACGATGGTAGGTTAAATGGGCAATCGTGGAAGAGGGAAGGGAATTAGGGAGGGGAAAGTAAATCCACAATACGAGCCTCTGGAAAAGCGTTTCGCTTTGCACGCCTTTGTCACTCAGACTTCGCCCCATTTTCCCCAGGCTGTGATAGAACTTCGTGGTGGGGGTGGGGGTAATTTTTATTTCCCAATAATCTACCATTATTCGGGAGAAATCCATTTCTTTCTGTAAATCTGATCAAGTAATATTTTATATATGTGATAGCAGGCGCGATTTGCTGCCTGAGCCTCTAAATAAGGACTATATTAAAATAAAACTGCCAGTTCTACAATTGTATATAAAACTTGAGAGACGTTGCATCTGAACTGAGAAAAGGCTAGTGCTCCTTTGTCACTCTCCTATTTCTGTAATTTATATGATTGGGGCATCTCTAAATTAAATGACATTGTAACAGGAGACCATCTAATGTGGTTTCAATATTAACCAATCCTGTCACTGTGTGCACCTATCATAGCTCTTATTTGTACAGGCATCTGTTATGTTGTATGAAGATAAAGTCAATGGTGGGATTCAAAATATTTTACTACCGGTTCTGTGGGTGTGGCAGGGGAAGGATATTGTAAGAATACTGTAAAATCTCCATTCCCTCCCCACCCCAGGGGAATGTTACTGCAAAATCCCCATCAGCTGGGACTCGGGAGACAGAGAATAGATGGGGGTGGGGCCATTCAGAGGTAATATTTACCGGTTCTCCCAACTACTCAAAATTTCCGCTACTGGTCCTCCAGAACTGGTCAGAACCTGCTGAATACCACCTCTGGATAAAATGTATGAAGAGACTCAACTTATGAAGTGAAAAGAATTTCAGCAGAGAGTGATGTGATATAAATTAGAGGACTTTAGGTTTAAATAAGGGAAAAAAATTACGATCCATTTGATCTTCACGTTCATTGTAAACTTTGAACTATTTACAAATATGTTAGTTAATCCTACCTTAAAATTTACTTGTAAAGAAAAAGCAACACAATTCTCCTTTGACTTTTGCATGACAGCTCTTCAAACACTTGAAGGAAGCTATCCTATCACAACACAATTTTCTCTATTCCAGTCTAAACATATTCAACTGTTTTTCCTCTGAAGCCCTTATCATCTTTGTTGCTCTTTTCTACACATATTCTAGTTTGTGTCTTTCCTAAAAATCAGTGTCCAGAATTAAATGCAAGATTCTAGATTCTGTCTGACCAATGTAGCATAGAGAAAAATTATGTCTTCTCCTGAACTTGATAGCATATTTGCATTGTAGGAATGCGTTTACTTTTTTTTCTTTTTTGCAAAGACATTGCAGTGTTAGTTTCCCATGTTTGTATTATCTGCAAAGTAGCAATTGTATTTTTCTCATCCAGATTATTTTATGAATATTATAATAGGAATTAAAATATCTATTTCCAATTTGATTTCAAGTTTTATTTTCATTTTTGTCTAGTCCAGTTCCATTTTGAAGAAATCCATCAAAATTGATATGTTTTCTCTTCTTTCATAACTGATTAATATTTTTCTGGGAATCAATATCTGACTGACTTTAATGGACCCTCCCCCATTTGATGGTATAGAGAAGATTTATTCTCATCTAATTCTCTCTGATTACTAAAAAATGATTCATGAAGCTATTTATTGGTTTCTTCAGTATTTTGGGATGCAAAATTCTTCTGGTCCTAGATATTTAAAGTTAAACTAAATAAATATTTTCTGATAATGTTTGATCTCATGGTTCAATCTTGCGCCTAACCATGTTTTTTATAATTATTTCTGAAAACAATAAAAGTAGCATTACAGTCAGAAAAAATATTATTAAAAGATGGGAGGGAGTGGGAGATGGAGCTGGGGAGGTAAGATACTTCTCTTAGTCCACCTATAATGCTCCCCCATTGGGGCCTCAAGCCAAATGCCAGATCCAGATCTTCAGGCCATTGCAAGAAGATCAGTGGGATGGGAGCAGATGGGATAACAGAATAATAGACTTGGAATGGACCTTGGATATATTCTGGGCCATCCCTCTTCTCAACAAGAGACCACTTACCATTTCAGACAAATGAAATATTCCAAAGTTCTGGAGTCACAGGAGAAAAGGTTTTGCTGGACCCTGCCAGCCAGCTGACTGGCAACTGATAACCTCAATGACACCATCAGGTCTAACAAAGTGGATCAAAGTGTTCCCAACAGTTCCCAAACTGTTCACCAGGCAGGAATCTTACATGAACTTGGGAATGAATCTGAGCAACTTTGTCGATCAGATGTTGTACAAATTTTTCTGCATGACTGTGAAGATCACCTGAGTCCTCCTATCCCAGGAGTGACGAGTGTTCCAGAACAGGGATGCCAGGCAAGATTCTGTGAATGCAATAAGGGTGGAGAAATAATGCTGCTTCTCCACTCTTATTACTATGAGGCATTAACATCAACTCTAAGTCGTGACCAGTCAGAATCATCTTTCATTTTACTCCATTGGTGACTTATCTTTTCAGAACCTGCACCTCTGCCGGCAGGGAATCATCATTTGCTCTATTTTTTTTAAAGTCCAGCTTCATTTAGAAATCCATCCACAGTCATGTGAAAAAGAATGACGTACATCCTCTTTGAGCTCTGATTTTACATATCAGGACATAATAAAATTTATTTGATCCTTAGCAGTTCTTAAATGATGATAAATACAACTTCAGATGAAAATGCATTCTAATTCCCCTTCATCAGATTTTTGATCTAGGCTTCATAATTATTTCCTGGGCTCTCTTGACTTTATTGTGGTCAATTACAAGTCTCTTATCTTCTTCAGTGATCAAGCTAGCATCTACCGTGTTTCCCCCAAAATAAAACCCGGTCTTGTTTTCTTTTGGCCTTCAAAATAAGCACTAGGGCTCATTTTTGGGGAAACACAATTTCAGGCTGATCAGTTCTGCTGGACATTCCTCCCCCTGGCACATACAAAAGAATCAGCAAGCACGCAGGGACCGATGGTATCCGGCAGCAGCTGCAGCCTGCCGGTCCCTTGCTCAACGCACTCTGGGGCTGTGCAGAGCAGAAGGAAGGTGATGCTGACACATAGAAGATAGATGATCCCGATACACCGTGCGGGCTGCAAGTAACCCAAGAGATGCGAAGATGAGCTCCCATGGTCACTCCAGCCCAGCACCACTCAGCTTTCCCACAACCTGCATGGCACAACCAGATTGCCTACTTCCCTCTGTCTGCTTCCGCCTGCTGCTTGTACAGGTACTCAACTCAACTGCTACACAAGCTGCAACTGCTGCCAGACACCATCAGCCTGTGTGTGTTGGCTACCTCCTATGGCGGCCATGCCCACCCACATTCACTAGGGTTTATTTTTGGGGTAGAGCTTGTATTAGGCGCATGTGTAAAAAAAAACCAGGGTGGAGCTTATTTTGGGGGTAGATTATATTTTGGGGGAAACGGTATAAATGAAATTCCAGATAAGAGTGTTCTATTCCTATTATTTCTATTTCTCACTCAGACTAACTTATCAAGCATAGTCATTCAAATAACAAGACCCAATGCCATGTAGGCATTTATACGTAGGTCATAACCAACAGCTTAAATTGCATTTGAAAGCAGACTGGTAGTGCAGTTCATGGAACAGAAGTGTTACATGAGCATACAGAGGCAACAACATTTCTGCTTGTCTCACTACATTCTGGATCAATTGAAGCTTCTAAGTGCTCTTGAAGAAAAATCTCACCGAACAGATGGCTGTGAGATGACTAGGCTTTAGCGACTGTTAAAATAGTCTCTAGGAAAGGATGCCATTGACACAGCAGAAGAAGCTGTATCAAGCTGTATCAAGGCTGCCTTGGCATAGCTGCTGTTACTTCATTAAACAGAAGCTATGAGTCCAAGAAGATTCTCAAATTGCACACTATTTTTGAGTTGAAGACTATAGATCTAAGATCAAAGATCTCCCTGGATTCTAATGAGGCCCAACAACCACAGCCACTTAGTCTTCATAGATGGAGCTGAAGATGCTTTATTTGGCTGGTTAGGGGTTGAAAAATGGTGATTATGATTGAATATCATTGGCATGCTGATCATGCTAAACTCCATTGGATCATTTACCTCAGCAAATAAGTGAACAAATACAATGTTTTGACTCATCTATTTAATTGAGTTCTCTTTATCTAGTTTTAAGATGTGAGAACATTACATTTAAGTCATACGCAAAAATTCAAATGAGATCATATTAGGTTCAAAAATAATATGATTAGACAAACATTTTGGAGGGAAGCCTTGCAAAACATCCTCCAGCATATTCCAAATCTTTTGTTCAAAATGTCTGTTTTTTTGAAGGCTTGAGGCAACTACTCTATGGTCCTTTGAGTAAATGTGGTATGCATGGAAAACCATTGTTTCACATCTAAGAAGACTGAGCTGTTAAAATACAGAAACAAAAGACTCTTTTCCAATGGAACCAAAAGAACAAGAAACCCCATCTAATTTCACAGAAAGGATTCT